CTGATATCCAACCTAACCCTGTTCAGTGCCCAAACACCTCTGGGGGAAGAACCTTGTGCTGATATCCAACCTAACCCTGTTCAGTGCCCAAACACCTCTGGGGGAAGAACCTTGTGCTGATATCCAACCTAACCCTGTTCAGTGCCCAAACACCTCTGGGGGAAGAACCTTGTCCTGATCTCCAACCTAACCCTCCCTGACACAGCTCCAGCTGTTCCCTGGGCCCTGTCCCTGTCCCAGAGAGCAGAGCTCAGAGCTGTCCCTGCACTGCCCCTGTGAGGAGCTGCAGGGGGAAGGGAAATCCTCCTTTGCAGACAACTCCTATTTAGGTCCCTTACAGGCACAGAAAGGCAATACCAGCAGGTTGTTGCCCTGTTACTTATGACCCAAATGCCTGGTATCTGAGGAGCCAGAATTTATTTGAAGAATTCACCACTTGAAGCAAGATTTCCAAACCAAAATATACTCAGTTTCTTAGGAATGTATGACTTTCTTCTCCATAATCCAAAATAGAGAAGACATCCAATTTAGTAATTAAATAAACTACTCAGTTACAAGACCACAGAAACCTTTAAAGCAATCCAAACACCTCCTTTAATCCAATTCATATCTTTGTGACAGAGCCAAAAGCAGTAAAAGTTACTAACCAGAAAAAGAAGAGAGACAAATAATATTTTGGATAGGAGTTTAAAAACACATTTTATAATAACAACATCTGATATTACTACACAGCACAAAGGCAGTCTCACATTTACCACTACCTTGCAAAACCTACAGGAGGTGTAGGTTATGTGGATCTGGACACCCACTCAGCTACCAAGAGAGCAGAAGCAAACATGGTCATAGTGGCACCACGTAAAAATGTATCCACAGGAGTTTATTTTATACGTCTTTCCTTTTTACTTCCCAGCCCTGACTTCAAGGCTGTTCCCTTCCCCTGCAGAGTTTCCCCAAAGACAAAACAAAATACAAATTCACTTGCTCCCATCACCACATGTTCTGGCCTAAGCAGAAGTCCCATCTGGTTCCCACTTTGCAAACCCCAGAATAATTTTCCACTGCTCAATGGTGATGAAGTAACAACCTCTTGGTTGTTACAGAGCACAAAAAGAATTGCACAGTTGTGCAGAAAGGCTCTATCTGATCGAACTGGTAATCTGTCAAAAATGTCACTGGAAGGCAATTTCAGGTGCCAATGGATGGGATTAGTTCTAAGAAAAGGATCCACGTGACTCCGAGTTCAGTTCCTTGCTACAGACTCCACACTCCAAGCCATGAAACTGCCCAAGCCATGACAGTGCACTGTCACAAGGGAATGACCAAGCGCGATGACCAGGAAGTTGAGCGGCTCCCATGCCCCAAAACGGTTTGTTCTTGATGCAGTAATATTACTTGCTGATCTTCGTAAGTGTTCGAAACAGAAACCGCAGGCATTCCCTGGCATTCGGCGTGCAGCCCCAGAGATAGCTATCTAGCATGACAAAGCACGGGTAAGGGTTTGGGACACGCCTGTTTTGCTAAGCCAACACCCCAATAACGGAGCAGCTGCTTTGGACAGAAGAGCCACGTTGGCAATCACACCTTTGCTAACGTGTGTGAGGCTCTGGAAGCTCTTACAAACACTGCCCGCTTAACCTGAACAGGCACATCCCAACAGGATGGAGACAGTGGTTTGCAGGTGCAAGCCTGAAGAAAGGATGTGAGAACACTTCCAAAGCACCACTGCGCAACAAATCTGCTCCTGGGGAAGTGGCAACAGCACAAGGGAAGATCTGAGTGTCGCTCGGGACGCAGAGGAGCCGCTGTGCAGATGAGCAGTGACTGCAGGGAGAGTCACCAGTGCTGACTGCACACACTGCCTGACCGCTGAGCCCACAGGCACTGGGACAGGGACCCCGGGCTGGGGAGGGTGGCTGTGCCAAGGGGCCGTGGAGCACCCAACCATTAGGCTGGGAAAGACCAGCCTGGGAGACAGAGTGCCTGCCAGTCATCACCTGCTTCTACAGACAGAAACGCTGCTTTGGACAGGTTTTGCCACTTGGAATCTGGGATTTTGTTGCACATATCATAGAATCATGGGAAGCACCTTAAAGCTCATCCCATCCCACCCTGCCCAGGGCAGGGACACCTCCCCCAGCCCAGGCTGCTCCAAGCCCATCCAGCCTGGCCTGGAACACTCCCAGGGATGGAGCAGCCACAGCTGCTCTGGGCACCCTGTGCCAGAGCCTCAGCACCTCACAGGGAGGAATTTCTTCCTAATATCTAACCTAACCCTGCCCTCCTTCAGCTTTCTCTCTCCATGCCCTTGGACATACAGCTCCACTTCACACAGTGCAGCCTCACCTGAGGTGCAGACTGCTTCAGCACCAAACTGGGCATGAAAACAGCAAGGATTTGGGAAACAAGATATGCTTGAAGAAAAGTGAGCTCTGAGAAAGGCATCTCAATCATACCTTCCAGTAATCAAGAAAAAAAAAAGCTAAATCATTAAATCTTGTTTTGGGAACGAGTGGTGCAGATGTTTTTATCCAAATGCCCTGGAAACACAACGCACAAACTGAATACACATGATGGAAAAAACTGCCATGGGGCATACAGATGGTGATTAAAAAATTGTTCTGCAAATCCAGCCATGGAGAACTGTAAACTTTCTCTAAAGGATCGTGGTATTTTTAGCAAACTGCTTGAAGCAACAAAAATTATAAAAATAAACTGAGCAATAACATAGGTAAGAGAAATCTCTGTGTTCTCAGAATGTGCCTCAGGATCCAGTAAGGAAATCTGGAAGTGTTCTCTTCCCCATCCAGGGATGTGTAATTAATTCAGAAGTATCAAAGTCTCCCAGCATCCCTGCAAGGCACACAGGTAGCTACTCACAGGTGAAGAAACCTGTGTGAACTCTAAGTGACTTTGTTCCAGACTAAATGAGGCTCACAGACAGCCAAGACTACTCAGCGTGTCTCCCGGCGTCACGTTAACACTCCCAGCATCCTATAAATCCTTCTGCTATCTTCCATCTGTAGCAATAAAACAGCATTTTAATTTGAACTCAAAGGGTTTTTTCACTGCTAGAAGCAGCTAAAAATTCTGACAAGTCAGCTTAGAAATACAGACTTGGCGCAGGGAAAATGGGAGTGGCACATCACCTCGGCCCCTCCTGGGGTGGACAGGCTCACAATTAGAGACTCAACTTAACGGACAAAGTGCAGTATGTGAGGCAATGAGGGACACCAAGAGAAGATGAGGACAAAAGGAACATGAAATCCTGTCCAACCTTTACAACAATTCCTGCATGCACACCCCCTGCATGGAACTGAGAGCCGAGGCACTGAGGATCACTCCAGCTGCATCTGGGCAGAATATCCAAGCTCTTTCTCAGGAACACACTGTCCTGCGGTAGAGCAAACCAGCGTCGATGCACAAACACCTACTCGCATAAGATTTGCACGTGCTAATATTAAAATAGCTGGGGTGGAAATTAAAAACTTTAAAAATATTCCTTCACAATATGCACACACAATTTACCTCACTGCAAATGAAATATGTACAATACTTGTGAAATTCTTTCAGCTTCCTCAGAAAGCTCACACAAGCACGTTTGAGGAAACCAGACAGAGTTCAATAGTATACAACCATAAAACATTCACCACCTGCTCCAAACTTCCTGCACATTTAAAAGAAATCCTCCAGTACTGGTTGCAAGAGACTGTCACATCCTCCTTACACTAGAAGTGCACAAATCAATGCCAATGAATTAATCAGCCCAGATTAACTCATGGACTTTTAATTGCTTGACAGTCCCACATAGACAGTGTTCCTGTCACAGTTCTGGGAGCAGAACAGGAGAGGGAACAGTCAAGCAAGAAAGAGAAGGATGGAAAAGCTACTACAAAATAAGTGGATCTGTACCAAGTGTACCTTTAATTAACTCAAAACAATGCAATGTTTTACGAAACCACTGAAGAGATCAGTGGGGCCTAGCACCCTCCTCACTGCCATGTGAGGCTCTGGCACAGGGTGCCCAGAGCAGCTGTGGCTGCTCCATCCCTGGAGTGTTCCAGCCCATGTTGGATGGGGCTCGGAGCAGCCTGGGCTGGGGGGAGGTGTCCCTGCCATGGCAGACAGTGGGTCTAGATGATCTCTTAAGGTGCCTTTCAACCCAAACCATTCCATGATGTGACCCAAACCACCATCAGTCCACCAAGATCTGCTGGCTTCGCTGCCTCTTGGCTTGGTACAGAGCACCAGTGAGTCAATGAAAGCTGCAGTTTCTCATATTATCTAAGAAATTAACTTCCTAATACTAATCAAATAAAACAGGCTAAAGATGAAAGGAACAAAGAAAATTATTCCTAAACCAACTCTAAAATTAAACCAGCTCATTTCCTGCCTAATCTTTCAGACACGAAGGCCACAGGGCACAGGCTGGTATCAAGCCTGGGCAGATTCTGTGCAGGGAGCAGCAGATACTTCACACACCCCTGAGGCATGCTTCAGATGGCAATTTCCCTCAGAGCCAACACCTTAACAAAGCATGGAATTCAGATCGCAAAAGTTAGAGCAAGATTGTTTAAGGTGCCAGTGCAAATGAATCAGACTCTCAGAATGGTTTGGGTTGGGTTGGAGAGACCTTAAAGCTCATCCAACGCCACCCCTGCCCTGGGCAGGGACACCTCCCCCAGCCCAGGCTGCTCCAAGCCCATCCAGCCTGGCCTGGAACACTCCAGGGATGGAGCAGCCACAGCTGCTCTGGGCACCCTGTGCCAGAGCCTCAGCACCTCACAGGGAGCAATTCCTGCCCAATGTGCAATCTAGATCTCTCATTTTATAGTTAAAAATGTCCCCCCTTCTTGTCCTTAAACTTTAATCTATAAATTTAGAGCCTAAATACTGCATGTTCATAGAGGAATAAGAACTTTTTCTCTTTTCTAACCTATCTTTACATCAACCTGTTCTACCTCACACGCCTCATTCACTCCTCTGAGGGACAAATGCAGGATTTCAAAGGTGATGTGAATCGTGATCTGAACTCTCCAAACTTACATCACGGGAAGCGGTCAAGTTCTTGCTGTCTTCCTCTCCCAGAAATGATTTGATACTGTGCATGATATTATCTTTTCGCTGTTGCCGGAACTATCTTTACATCAACCTGTTCTACCTCACACGCCTCATTCACTCCTCTGAGGGACAAATGCAGGATTTCAAAGGTGATGTGAATCGTGATCTGAACTCTCCAAACTTACATCACGGGAAGCGGTCAAGTTCTTGCTGTCTTCCTCTCCCAGAAATGATTTGATACTGTGCATGATATTATCTTTTCGCTGTTGCCGGAATCTCC